TGGAGAGCAGATGCTCTTGCCCTCCCCATGTGCCCTTGCTCTGTTTCCATCTTTACCTGCTAGTTCCTTTATAGTCACCCACACCCGTGTCCCTGGCTCTGTGTGATTTAGCCAGTCGACTGAATCAGAAGAGAAATTGGTGGCAACAGCAACTTGGAGCAACTTGAGCAACCTGGAGCCGGCAGTTGCATGTGAAGTATAAGAGGTTAGTCTCTGTGAGCTAAAAGCTCAGCCCCAAGCCCAAATCTAAACACAGGCAACTTTCACACAGGTGTGAAAAACATTTTATTTCCCCCCGACACATGCCCTCTCCCTGGGCCAGCCCAGCTATGCTCAGCTGAGAGTCATATGTAGCTCAGAGTGTAATGCACATCTGAAGGCTCACCCATCTGGTGGGACTATTTGGATGGCATAGCCACAGCCAGCATGCACCTGACACATTCCTGACAGTGTACATGCATGGCAGGCCCGTATGGCAGGAAGTATGAAATAGTTTCTTCCTTGTGGGACAGGGAAAAGAGGAAAGTATGTCAAGGGGGTTTGAGTGACTGTTTCTATCAAGCCTGGCTTGGAAGTGTCAACAGAATCTGGGAGTTTTGAATGTCTGGAAAGTGCTAAGCACAGAGTACCAAAGGGCCTGCAGTACCAAGACAGACACAGGAGGGACAAGAAGCCCTTACAAGTTCCTGAAAAGAAAGTTCTCCAACTGGGAAATTACATACATGCACAGTCCAGAGAATACACATCCATAAAAGGCTTGAGAGGTTCCAAACCTATCTAGGCTGACAGGTAAAGGTTCTTCCTGTACAAAGCTAATCCGTAGAATGGCTGGGAAAGGAGCCTGTTACTCTCTTCTCTTGGTATGTCTCATGGGAAACAAATACAGGAGGAAATGTCATAGGAACCACAGAAATCAAACCTAGCCAGGCATGGCAGCTTCTTTCTGTAAATTCAACATGTGGGCAGTCTGATGCAGGAATACTGCCCTAAATATGAAGCCAGCCTAGGCTACAGAGTACGATCTTGTGGAAAATGAAACTAATAAAACAAATCACCCAGAGATCCATAAAAGTTGAAGAAGTCAGAGAAAGAATGAAAGAAGCTGCATTAAAGAGATGCAAGGCACTACAAGAAACAACACAATTAGCCAATGAAATCATAGAGGTGATGCAGGAACAAGATGAGAATACAAACAAAGTGACAGAAATTACTTAAAAGAACCAAGCAAGGGGCTGGAGAGATGGCTCAGTGGTTAAGAGCACTGTCTGTTCATCCAAAGGACTCAGGTTCAATTCCCAGCACCCACATGGCAGCTCCCAACTGTCTATAACCCCAGTTCCAAGGGATCTGACACCTTCACACTAATGCACATACAATAAAACTAAATTAAAAAAAAAAGGAACCAAGCAAAAATACACAAGCGGAGAACACAGAAACTGAGTTGAAAAATTCAACATTTTTTCAACATCACATTTGATCAAATCACTCAGCAAACTTGAGAACAGACCATTTAAGATCATGAACTAGAAGAGACAGAAAGAAAATGACTTCAGAAAAGTGACACTTGAGGGACTGAGATGCCATCAAGGTGGCCAAACACACACACTTACAAGAGTCACAAGTTAAATACAAATACCTTATGTCAAGAGAAAAGTCAATATGTCACATACACAACAGGTCCTAAACACTGTCAGTGGCTTTCTCTAAAGAAGTACAATAGATAAGAGGCACTGGAAAGATAAATTCAAAAATTTATAAGATATACCACCCAAAACCTCCGTATAGGAATGAAAAAAAAAAAAAAAAACTAGATAAAACCTATATAAGATGAAACTGTTGAGGCTGGTCTGGTGCTATGTATTCAAATGCTAAATACTGGCCACCAAGAGCTGGTTGCTATCCAGACAAACCACATTCTCACATACACTAAATGGATGTTGGATAAACCTTGCTTCCCAATTTAAAGTTGGTTGGTTAATAAAAGTAACTAGAAGCCTCTAACTGGGCAGAAGAGAAGTAGGTGGAACTTAAACGTTCCCGGGCTTGGAATGAGATAGGGATCAGGAGGTGGAAGAGAGGAGCAGAAGAGGAAGCCAGAGAGACAGAAGTTGCCATGGGGCAGTAAGGACCATGAGCAGGTGGTCATGAGGGCTTGCTTGCCTGATGCAACAGAAGCAGCCCAGGCAGGAACCATAATGGGAAATTTCTTGGGGCATATAGCTGGGAAAAAGCAAAATAACTTAGAGGGTTGATATCTGCCCAGTTATGGTGCTTTGAAGCTGTTTTAATAAATTGCTAGGTCTCTGTCTCCATTTTTTGGGAACTAGCTGAGGTAGAGAAGCCTTCTGGAGTTGAATATTCCCGACTCCAGAAAGCAGGTACAAGAGAGGAAGCAAGTGACTCAGGGAGAAGATATCATGCTGGAGACATGAAGGGAGTCCCTCCAGCGTTGCACAGAGTGACAGCATGGCCTTCTCTCAGTAGGACACTAGGTTGAAGAGGCAAAGGAAGAAGCATTAGTAGGCAACAATGAGGAAGGAGGATTGACTCTGATGCATTCAGAGTGGAGGCAGCAGGTCTTGCTAAAACATCAGATTGTAGAGGACTAGGGCATATGGGATTCTGTTAGCGGGTTGGGGAAACTGAAGAACATTTTGATAGGAGCAAAAATTAGGAGTTCAAATTTGAATGTGTTCAAAGTTTGAGATGCATATTAGACAGGGTAGAGAATCTACCTCATCAGTCACTGTCCTTCCCTGGAAATGTCCTTTAGTTAGCGTTCAGTACATCTTACCTTTGGGTTCTCCTCTGACTGTTCATCCTAGTGTTTCTGTGTAGCTGAATGCACAAGTTTAGGGTGTAGAGGAGAGGTACAGACTGGAGACAAAACAAGGTAAGTCGGAATTATAGAACCATTAAAGCAGATGAAATCATCAAGAGAAAGGATTATAGATTTTTAAGAGATGGAGACAGAGAAAGGCAAAGGGAGAACAAGTACACACAGGATTGAGTTCTAGGGCACCCCAGCATACAGAGGTCAAGGAATTAAGAAGGAAGCAACAAACACTAAGAATGAATAGTCAGAGGAGAACCCAAAAGTAAGACATCCCAAAGGCCAACTAAAGGTTGTTTCCGGGGAAGGGTAATGGCTGACAAGGTCACTTCTATACACATTACTGAGTGGTCACAGACCCAATTTAGTACAGATTTATCAAACCTGAAATAACTTTAATATTTTAGGAGCTATTCTCATGAAGAATAGATATTGGGCAAAAAAATATTATCTGGTTTTAGAGTATATCAATACTTCTGTCAGCTGTCATATAAATATATACATACATTTAAGATCTTTTATCTACAACAGTTTAACACGAATTTATTATGTATGTGTGACCATGCCACAGAATGCACCTAGGAGTCAGATGTCAGTTTGCAGGAGTAGGTGCTCTTCCTGTGTGGGTCCCAGGGATCAGCAAGGTCCTTTACCTGCTGACCCATTTCAAAGGCTCTTTTTTATTACTAAAGCTTTTCTTTCTCTTTCTTTTTCTTTCTTTCTTTCTTTCTTTCTTTCTTTCTTTCTTTCTTTCTTTCTTTCTTTCTTTCTTTCTTTCTTTCTTTTTCTTTCTTTCTTTCTTTCTTTCTTTTTTTTTTTTTTCTGATACGGGGTTTCTCTGTGTAGCCTTGGTTGTCCTGGACTCACTTTGTAGATCAGACTGGCAGATCAAACTCACAGAGATCTACCTGCCTCTGCCTCTCAGAGTGCTGGGATTACAGGCATGTGCCACTGCACCTGCCTTATTTCAAAAGCTCTTACTCTAGAATATTTCTTAAAATATTAGTCTAAAGGTTATTAATAGATTGTAAGATAAAAAGAAAGTTTTAGCTATACTTATTTGGAGAAAGCTAATATATACCGTAATTTCCCCAAAAAAGAAAAAAAGAATGCAATGTTATAAAGTTACATCATCACAGAGCCCTTCTAGGTTAGCATCCTTTCTTTCTGCTGGGTATTCTGAGTTAACATCATTTGGAAGACACTGAGTTAAATTTTGTCCTTACTATATGTCAAAACTTATGTCAGCAAAGCCAGTGCGGGGTATTTTCTTTCTGCTACTTCAACAGTTTTACTGAAACTGCTCTACATTACTTATGCTAGAATGTATGATATTCTTTATTATTTTTAAACTGAAGCATCTGCCTGTCCTCAGGCTTTATTAGTAACCAAACGAAGATACTACATCTCTTCAAAACTGAATAGAAAGCTGTCAAATAGTAGGATGTCTCAACTAAGACTTTTAAAGGAGTTTCATACAAACTATTGGCAACATATCATATTGTTAATGCTTTTAGCCAAGTTTCCCTATGTGTGCTGCTCATTTCAGTGATTAAAAATTTTGTGATATTCACATTTTAGCTCTTATATGTTTTCCTTGAAATGTAGGGCATACCTTTATATTCTGGACAGTCCCATATTTCTTCTCTCATTACTCTAGGAGGCCCCTGGTTCCTATTTCAATTATGAAAAATTATACAGTATAGAAAACCTTGGCTTCAAAGGGTACCATTTATCTTCATATCAAAGACAGGAAAGTGCAAGGTGAAAAAGAAAACCTCACAATACATTGTACTATTAATTACTCAGCTAAATAGTATTGCCTTTTTCCTCAAAACATCAGCTTTGTTAAGGAAGTATAGCCTGCAGTCCATTTCTTTGTCCCTCACTATCTCTGCCTGTGGCTCCCACCATTATCACATTCAGTTTAAAATGGCAAAAAGGACAAAAGAGTATTAGGAAAGTACTTACCATAAACAGAAAGGCCTGCACGGCAAGCGTAATGCTCTGCATTTGATGACTATATTCGTGACATAGTTCTGGAAACCTAACTCACCTCCTTTCTCTTCTCCTCCTCCTCAGTTCAGTTACCAACATGTAAAAGCCTACACAATGTTGCCAATTACCCTCCTCAAAAAGCAGGCAGGCACAGCTTCTGGACTCTCACCTTCCTCATGGCTGGAACAGAAGGAGCTGGAGTGGTCCATGTGCTTGTTAATACCTTTGGCAAATGACTTTCCAAAACATCCAGTCACCCAGTTTGCATCAACTCCAGAAATGTTTAGACATGACAGCAGCAACAGCAGCTGGTTCTGGTAACCGCCAGCTCTCAGATGCAGCAAGCTGTGATGATGAACAGACCCGCAGAGATTTAACACAGGAAAGTTTTTCCAGAAGAGCAATTTCAAACTTCCGTCTAGGCAAGTAGGTTTTCAGGGTTCTGGACTCAAATATCTGTGACCTGTCCCATGGTACCAGTAAGGTCATACCTGAGGAAGTTAACTTTCAATGGCTCCAGTGTAAGACCTGACTGCTGCCACTGTGTAGGACCTTCTGCATATAAGCATTATCCAGTTTAAAATTACACTCTTTGTTTTGTTCTCTGTATATGTCTTCCCAACACTGTACTACAGCTACTTCGAGTATTTTTTTTTTTTTAGAATAAAGCAGAATATGAATTTAACTCATTCTTCACAGTAATTTTCTAAAACAAGAACTTCAGTTTTGGGCACAGATCTATACATACCTATTAGTACAGGTTAAATTCACCTGTTTAATAAACATGTTCTAGTGTCTCATATGTGTTCCTGTTCAGTCCTGGGAAAAATACTAGTGAAGAGGATGTCAATATGAGATGAATACATACAGAAGAGAGCAGAGAACTGGAATGGAGATGTTATGCAATTAAAATATGATGGTTGGAAAAAGCCCCACTCAACGACCCCAAGTACATGAAGATGAGTGATTAATTCACATTGGCATTGAAGACAAGAGCATTCACAAGCAAGGAGTCTCAAATACAGAGGCCCTAAAGCTTCAGAAGAAAGTTCCAGCATTTCTAGAGAAGAGTGTGCCGGGGCCGGTGTCCTACTTACTTGTCCTGCTGCTGTGATGAAGAACCTAATAAAAACAACCTAAGAAAAGAGGAACTTATGGCTCACAGTTCAAGAGTGCAGTCCACTGTGCCAAGGTAGTCAAGACATCAGGTGCTCAAGCGCAGCTCATCACGCTGTGTCACAGTCAGGAAGAACAAGGTGATGAAAGCTGGTACTCTGCCTGTTTTCTTCTTTCTGAAGTCCAGGATGCAAGCCTATGGAATGGAGCTGCCCATCGCATGGGTCCTTCTACCTCAGATAACCTCAACAAGATGACCCCTGACAGGTGTGCCCAGAGGCTTGTTTCCTAGGAGGTTCTAGACACTATCAGGTTGATGATCAACATCAACATGAACCACAACTCCATCCTTTGCAACTTGACACCCAAACACATCAATGTGAAGCCAAGGACCTTTCATCCCTTCTTTCCAGAATTTTATGAGCATCTGTTTAAATTTTTATTATATTTCCTTATTTACTTATTACACACACACACACACACACACACACACACACACACACACACACCAACACACACAGAGTTCAGAGGACAAGGTGCAGGAATCAGTTCTCTCCTTCCACACTTTGGTCTTGGGGATCAAACTCAGGTCAAAAGAGAAAGCAATACTTTCTGAGTATTTTCCTGCCAGCCCACATGACCATCTTACAGTGCAAAAATATGTTCAGTACAACTCTGAAAGTCCCCACAGTCTTTAATAATTCCAATACTGTTCAAAAGTCCAAAGTCTTATTTGAGATTTGAGGCAATCTCTTGACTTGAGTGCCTAGAAAATAAAAAGCAAGTTACACAGTTCCAACACAAAATGACATGAGTAACCATTCCTCCTCTGAAAGGGAGGAGTGGAGTCACAGCAAGGAGTAATCACGCCAAAAGCAAGCATAAACCCAACAGAGAGAACACTCAGCTTGCAGCACCACGGCTGGCATTCTGGGCTTGTGATGTGATCTTCCAGGCTCCAAAGGGATTAGGCAGCCCCATCCTTCCAGGCATGCTGCCCTAGACACACACAACTCCTTGAGTCAGCTTCCCTTCATGCGTGCAGCTGTCTTTGCTGGATGGCCCACAGTTCTGACATCAACATTATAGCTTAAGACTTCACAGTCATGACTTCATGCAGTGGCCCCGCAGGCCTCTTGCGGGGACTCTGGCCTTGTCACACTTCCTGGCTCCAGCTGCTGTCTTAAGATGTGGAACAAAAATCCACAACCTCCTCAATCTTACATCTTCCACTGATTTCAAAACTAGTACCAGGTGGACAACAATGCCAGGTTCTAGCTCAAGACATAGCTGGCTCCCTCGACAACAGCTACAGCAGCTTCTGAGTGCTGACTTCAAGGACCTCTTCAAGGCAAATGCTTCCAAGGAATCAAGAACACATTCAGTTTAGGCTTTCTTCCTTTGACTGTGTGTGTATCCTGATCAAATGGAGAATCTGATGAGATTTTGCTTTCAGGGCCTTTCCTACTGTCCAGTGCAACACAGGTTTCTCTTCAATGATCTGGTTAACAGTTACAGCTGCTTTCCCAGCACCAGCCTGATTGCTATCCTGTCTTCAGATTTTTTTTTTCTCTGCCAAACAAATTAGTCTACTCCCTTTAAATTCTACTTGACTTGGTACATGGAGGTATTACACCTTTAATCCCAGCACTTGGGAGGTAGTAGCTGGTGGATATCTGAGTTCGAGGCCAGCCTGGGCTCTGTTACACAGAGAAACCCTGTCTCAAAAACAAAACAAAACAAAAACAAACAAGCGAACAAACAAAAATTCTACTTAACTTAATTTAGCCAGATCCCACTTCATAACTGAGTCCTTGTTCTCCTCTGAAGCCATGACTTCATTTCTCTTATCATTTCCAGAAGCATTAAATTCTGCTTACAATAGTCAAGGGTTTTTCTTGCCAAAGTTCTAAATTCTTCCACATTCTTCCCACAAACTAGTTTCAAGGGCCTTTGAGCAATGTGTTCAAGTTAATCCCAACAAAGGCCCCACTTCTTGGGATCAATTTTCTGTTACTATACCTGCTGCTGTGATGAAGACCCTGATAAAAGCAACTTAAGGAAGGAGGAATTTATTTTGGCTCACAGTTCAAGAGTGCAGTCCATTGTGCCAGGGTAGTCAAGGCATCAGGAGCTTGAGAGCAGCTGGTCACACACTGTGTCCACAGTCAGGAAGAACAGGGTGATGAATGTTGACTCTTTGCTTTCTTTCCATGAAGTCCAGCATGCAAGCCCAGGGAATAAAGCTGCCCATAGGGTGGGTTCTCCCAGCTCAGATAACCTCACCAAGATGACCCCTGACAGATGTGCCCAGAGGCTTCTTTCCTAGGAGGTCCTAGATGCTATCAAGTTGACAATCTACACTGGCCATCTCAAGTTGTCTGCTATAAGATGAACAACAAAAAATTAAGGGGTAGTGGTGGCCAATCAGGCAAGGCTCTGAGAGACTATGATAAGGTTATAGGTTTATATGTGGAATGAGATGTTACTGAGAAGTTAAATGAGCCAGAAGTCACTATACTTAAGTACCTAGGTGACGAGTAGTAGATGTGGGAAGAACTGGTTAACAGAAGCTTACTGAGTCTCTACCACCTGCTAGGCCTCCCCAGCATTGGGCACAGTAATCAATAAAACATACACCAGGTTTTGGCTTCATCAAGACCAGTCTGCTGGGTAGGTACGATCATCACATGAGTAAGTAAGCAAATGATAATGGTGTTTGAAGAAAACTAGGTAAACAGTGATAGAGGAGACATGTCTAGTCTAGTCTGAGGAGTGAAAGGTGTCCTTTATGAAAGAATATTTAAGCTGGGCATGGTGGCACACACCTTTGATCCCAGCACTCAGGGAAATAGAGGCAGGTGGATCTCTGTGAGTTTGAGGCCAGCCTGGTCTACAAAGTGAGTTCAGGACAGCCAAGGTTACACAGGAAAACCCTGTCTCAATAAAACAAAAGAAAGAAAGAATATTTGGAGATATATTGGTACTATGAATTCGATAAACAGGGTTAGGATGCTGTATTATTTACTTTTCTGTTGCTGTAATCAAAAGCAACTTTTAAAAGAAAGAGTTTATTTAAGCTTATAGTTCCAAAGTGGTAAGAGTTCATCATGGTGTGTGTGTGGGAGGGGCATGGCAGCAGGGCAGGGAAATAAAAGAGCTCATCTCAACCACTAGTACAAAGCAGAGAGCAACCTGAAAGTAAAGAGGGGACCTCAGGCTCTCAAATGCTTCCCCGTGACATACTTCCTCCAGCAAGGCTGCACCTCCTAAAGAGTGCTTGAGATGATGGGGGACAGTCCTTATTCAAACTGCCAGAGACACGAGAACTAGAACATCACTGCAGCTGTTGTCTAACGGCCTAACAGTTTGGGCTGAATTCTAAAGGCAATAAAACATCAAGAATTTAAATCAGGGGACCAAAAAGATTACAACTACTTTTTTTTTTTTCTTTAAAGATTCCTCTAAAAGTGGTGAGATCAGAGGAGGGAAGAGTAAATATGGAAAACTAATCAAGTGACTTTTACAGAAGTTCAGGGAAACCTGATAATGGAGTAAGGATGCAGGATCAGATCTGAAAGAGGTAGTCTAAGGGTATTTAGAAGACAGAAAAGAAAGGTGGTAGCAGATTACATTCACAAGAGCTGATGACATAGACAAAGATATCCACGTAGTGTTTGCGCTTTTTCACAGGTAGCTAGTATTTCCTACATGTGAGGTCATAAAGATCAATGTGAGTTTCTGGTTTAGGGGAGGTTGAAGGAACAACAAAAAGTCAATTACAGACAGTGACAGGTCTTTACATCACAGCTGCCAACTGTCAGACTTCTAACAGCCTCAACTCTCAAAGTCTGTGCAATCTGTTCTGTCTCCACCAATGCAAGAAGCTTGGTCATGACTAGGAACCAAGTACCTAGTGTCCATATTTTATATTTCTCAACATTTACATCACTAGGATTATATACACTTATGCAATTTGTGTAAGGAGAAAATCAACACTTTGCACAGCTTTCTGCTAAATTTAAACAAACAATTCCAAGGCACCAAGTATTTCAGTGCAGTAGAGAAACAAGGCTGCAGAGATGGTTCAGTAGGTAAAATGCTTGGTATGAGGACTTGAGTTCAGATTCTCAACACCCACATAAAAGCTGGGTGGTACACACACGGCCACATATACACAGTACACACACAAACACATACTAAAAGAAATAACAACCTCCTCACCCATGAATTAAGCTGTATGACCTCTGGAGGAAAGCACTCCCTACTATCCTGGAGCACTGGAACACTCCCCCTCTGATAACCAGTGATGTCCTCAAAGAAGCAGGTATCTGTTTTTTACAGGAAACAACTGAATAAGCTAAATACAGTGAGATTTATCTTAGCTCATTAACCTAAAGGTGAATTCTGTTACTCAGAGGAAGGAAAACGACTGACATTTTCTCTATAGAAAGCACCAAACTCCTGAGTCCTAAAAGATAAAAGAAATAAAATAGCACAGGGAGCTAAGGAGTAAGCTTAGTCAGTAAGCTGCTTTGCAAAAATGAGAATCTGAGTTTGATCCTCAGAATCCATATTTGAAGGGGGGGAAGCCAGACATTTTGGTATGGGTCTTATAATCTCAGAGGTGGAAAGGTAGAAATAGGCAGATCCTGGGGCTCACAGGCCAGCCAGCCTAGTCTACTTGGCCACTGGCCAGTTCCGGACAAATGTGAGTCTATATCAAACAAACAAACAAACAAACGAAAGATGATGTACATAAAGAACAGCACATGAGGCACTAACCAGACACAGACACAAAAATGCACGCTCACACACACCACACATACACTCACACATGCTCACACACACACTCACACAATCACTCACACATGCTCACATATATACTTTCATACACTCACACTCCCACATACAAATACACTCCCATACATGCTTACACATTCATTTACATACTCTCACACACATACTCGAAAACACACATGCTCACACACTTGCCTACAAAATAAATAAAATAAAATTCTAAAAGTAAAGCATCTAGCATAGTTTTTCTAATATGTCAAAATTGAACCAATCATTACATGTTCTAAGTGTCAGAATAAACAGGCTACCTGGCTTTCTCCCTTTTTTAAAAAATGAAACATAAAACATTTCAACTAAACCAAATATCACTAGCATTAACTATTAATTCCTTGCTCACAGTATAAAGGGAAATGAAATGATGAGTTTCCAGGGAAATAAAATGTGCACCAAGGCACTAGAACTAAAGTTACACTTTGAAAACTATGACAACACACAAGAAAAACTACTTAATTACCAACTGCACACATTTCTACATATAAAAACAGAAACAAGTGAATAATGTGTAATTAATAAAAAAAATAATAAAAAAACAAAACAAAACAAAAAAGCAGAAACAATATTTACTCTTACTATGTGACAGACACTGGAAACACCTTGCTCTACATTCTTGCATTTGAACAACGGTTTAAATGAAGGTTCAGAGAGATGAGCTGACTTCCCCAGTTACAGAGCTAGTAAAAGACGGTGGTGGAGCAAGAGCCATAAACTTTTAGGGCTCCTCTCTCGAGACCACAGTCTCTGAGAGTGTAATCTAACGTCTAGCATGTGCACATACCCTATCTCCCCTCACCGCACACAATGCAGCAAATTGGACCTAGGGCTTTGTACATGTTAAGCACATAGTTTTCTAACCTCATAGTTTTTATAAGAAAACTACTTAATCCTCACTTTCACATTATTGATTCAAATTTTTAGTAAGTTATAACAAAAGGCACAGTGAAAAACGCATATCAAGGTCGTGATTCTCCAGGAATAAAGGTCACAGGACATAATACGTTCTGGAAAATACCATTCGGTTCTTGTCTATCATAACATAAGAAACATGAAGGACCCTGGCGGCTAACGAAATTGAAGGAGAAGAAAGAGACATAACACTGTACTAGTGGGTTACAGCTCCTTTGACATTTGCTTGTGTGGGGGTTTCATGCAGAGCTTCAGTGCAGATGACATGAAGCTTCTGAAGAGCCTCTACATCTCGAAGTCACTCACATTCAACTCTTGAATGCATAAGGATGAATCAAGGTCTTCCAAATCTTGGTACCTGATGCTTAAAAACAGAACAAAAATCGACTAGCCAGCCTAAAAGTTTGTAGAGGCGGAACAATTAGTCAAATACCACGTGAGAAAATCAAGAAAGGTCTTAGAAATAGCTACACGCACATGTTCACTGCTTACTCTCACTGGCTACTGTTATCCGCTATACACTGCAGCAGAATTGTAAGGTCCCACAGATCTACTTACAGGCTGAACTCAGATACAATGCTTTAACGATACCTTTTTGAATCTCTGATTGACAGCCAAGGTATGAGATGCTCCTAAGAAAACTCCAATCTTTAAGGGCAAAGTAAAAATGTTCATTAGAAAAGAAGGCATAAAATCAAATTGATTTTGCAGAGCAGGAAAGAAATGGGGGGGTTGAATGCTTTCTGTGTATGTGCCCCAGTAAGTCCAGGCTGGTCTCAAACTCTGACCCTCCTGTCTTAACCTATTAATGTAGGATGACAGGCATGCACCACACCTAGCTGAGGGAAAGTTTACACATACACACAGACACACACATATACACACAAGGAGGAAAATAACAAAGTCTCCAAAGGGGAAAATTCAGAATATTTTTCAAGTCCCAAATGGAAAGCATATATTAAAAATATTATAAGCATGTACAACGCAACTGAAGAAAAGTTACAGCTATCTGAAATTCCAGCTAAGTCAATAACTACAAATGGACTATATCCCTATGGGGAACAGAAGGGCATATGCTCTGTCCCTTCTTAGATCTTTCTCAAGTGGGCTTTTTGTAAGAGCTCATTTAATTCTTGAATGTATTTATTTGTGTGTGCACATGTGTGGATGTGCACACGTGTGTGGGCAGGTGCATGTGTGTGGGCTGATGTGCGCCTCCATCAACACAGGGTATCAGATCCCTTGGAGCTGGGTCTGCACTTCCAGCTGTCTGCCAGATGTAGGGTTTGTTACATGGATGCTGGGATCCAGATTCTGGTCCCTATAACTGACTAAGTCATTTGACCACTGAGCCACCTCCCCACTCTCTGAAAAAGATTTTTAATTTCAATGACTATCGATTACATTATAACTGCCTTTTTAAAAATTTTGTTTTAGCTTTCATGTGCCTGTTTTCTTTGTTCCCAAGAAAACTACAAGCTTTTAAAAACTGTCGAGTCTTGGGCTGGAGAGATGGCTCAGAGGATAAAAGCACTCACTGCTCTTCTGAAGGTCCTGGGTTCAGTTCCCAGCACCCACACGGCAGCTCACAGCTGTCTGATGCTGTCTTCTGGTGTGCAGATGTACAAGCAGACAAAGTACCATATACATAACTAACTAAAAACACTGCAGCATCTGGGAAGATGTGCAATCATCAAGACCTGAACTCATGTAAAGGCCCCACATGATACCACATCTGTAACCTTAGTTAGTACCAAGAGTGTGAACAGGAGGATCCTGGGGGCTTACTGGCCAGCCAGCCTAGTCCAAACTGTGAGCGCCAGGTTCAGTGAGAGATCCTGTCTGAAAAAATAAGGTGAGAAGAGATTGAGGAGCACAGCCAGACTTCAACCTCTGCTGCACACATGCACGCACACACACACACACACACACACACACTGACCTATTACTAGTTAAACATAGGAATGGGATGCCTGTATAATAAATCAGTTTACTATGCCATAGTAAAAGCGTTTAGGATTTGAAAGGGATCTTCAAAATAACCTCCCACACAAGGCAAGCCCCTCTGCCACATTCCTGACACTCAGGCTCACTTCTATGATCCTAGGACCCCGGAGCTCCATGCTTCTCAAACACAGACCATCCCACCCCTGACTGGTCCTATCTCTTCTTTCACTCAGAATTAATTCTGGATTCCAAGTGGACAGAGAAAAAATGTATCTCCTAAGTTCCCTCAGCTCTTCCAGGACCTTTTAGTTTATGGAAAATAAAACAAAACAAAAAAACAAAGTCCTAGTTCTCCTAAGCTACCTCATCAGGGTATTCCTTTATGTAAGCAAAACAATAAAAAACAAAATCACAAAGTTCTCACATACCTTAAAGTATATCTAAGTAAATCAGTTTTGTATATTAATGCTTTATAGGCTAACAAGGTCTACTTAGTTGTGGTCATGCACAACTGAAATGGCAAAAAAAAAGGCATAAAAGCCTACTTTAATCAAAATGAAAAAACAATACATTGAACTTTTTTTTCTTTCCCTTTTCTGATACCACAAACAAAATCTTAGAAAATCCTCATTAACTGTTTACTCTCTGAGCCATCCCCTGACCCAGTCCAAAAGTTTATTAAAGCATAAAGTTCGTATTCTCAGGATTTGCTACATTCCTGTCATTTGAACCTTTGGAATAACCCTAAAACTTCTAAAATTCTTTAAGCAACTCTCAAAATCATGAATTAGCCCAGCACAGGCCTGAGTCTGAGGCCTTAAAATGGCTGACTTTTAATAACTTCCTATCTGGAATTCTGGCTTTGAAGGGGGGTTAAGGGTAGAGAAGAGAGAGAGGGAGAGAGAAAGAGATGCAGATAGACACTAAATAGATAGGCTAATGTTTCCTTCTCCATTCTATTTTCTTTCCAGGAACTGTTTATGTTCATGTTCATCTCCTTTATTTCTATATCATCTTTAGCACTTAGCATCTTGACTCGGGGAAGCAATCTAAATTCAGTGGTGGTCTTTTTTTTTCCCCCTCCTTTAGCAAAACATAACTACCACTCCAGCTGTGATCATGATTATGAGGGCTGGTGAGACACATTAAGATCCTATAGGAGATGGGAATGAATGATTGGATTCTGTTTAACTGAGGTGGGAAGGCCCGCCCACTACAGGCGGCACTCCTCCCTAAGCTGGGGACGTATAAGTGAGGAAAGCTGATCACTGGGCTGCATGCAGTCACTGCTCCATTCCCACTGTGGATGGAATATGGCCAGCTGCTCCAAGCTCCTGATGCCTTCATTTCTTCACCATCACAGACCATAACCAGGACCAGAAAGCTAGAATAAAACCTTTCTCCTTTAAGATGCTTCTGTTACTTATCACCAACAGGGAAAAAAAAAAGTTAGGTCAAGACAATAGTGATTAATCCTAAAAACCATAAGGGAAAAAAGCAGCCCTTAAAAGAGACTACTATAAGCAAAATACAAAATAGTATGCTAATAACAGTATAAACCACATGCTTAAGGAGCACAGGCTATTCTTTCAGAGGCCCTGGGTTCAATTCCCAGAACCCACATGGCGGCTCACAACCATCCAGAACTCCAGTCCAAATGGATATGCGGCCCTCTTCTGGCCTCTGCGGGCAATTCATGAACATGGTACAGATATACACACAGAAAAAAACAAAAGACCCATACACATAAAAATAGATAAATCTTAAAACAATACAAAGCAAAAACAAACAAGCAAACAGCTCTTCAGGAGGCTGAGAACAGAGTGAGAACAAGGTAGCTTGTTCTAACACTTTAAATAAGTAAAATCCCAGCCAGAGCTGGTTGTGGACCTCAGTAATACAAGCCCAGGCTCAGCACCAACGATCCCCAAGATCGACCACAGCTCCACACATAAACAAAACCTTCAAATATCCAACAAATTAAAACCTGTCCAATTGCATAAAACCATGACCCAGTGGTTTCACACACACCAGTGGTTTCTCACACACACATGCGGTGTGTATAGTCTGTTCTTAAACCAAGTTTCATTAATAAAGCATCTTCACATTCTTGAAAATCTCCCCTAGTCACAGCATAAGGCGCCTAATGCTATCATTCTAAATGTCCCACAATAAGAGTTTGAAAAGACAGAGGATCTGGAGAAATAAAAGTCAGCAGACATTTTTGCTGACTCCAGGACAAATCAGCCAACTCAAAGCAGTACAGGATAAAACTACCCATATGCAGGGCTCTGAATTTTCTTTCTGGCTTACTGATTTATTCTGAGAGAGAACAAGTCATTCTCAGAAATGTGTTAAAAGAGTTCTAAACATCATGAAGAAAGGGGAGCAGCTGCGGAAGTGGCTCAGTGGTTAGGAGCACTGGGTGCTCTTCTAGAGGACCCAAGTTCAAATCCCAGCACTCACATGGTGGCTCACAATGTCATTAATACTATACTCCCAGGGGATCCGACATCTTTTCTGGCCTCCAGGCACATATATGTAGGATACGAATATTCATGCAGAAAATACATACACACACATTATAAAGTTTAAAAATTTAAGAGAAAACAAAGTGAAACGGTAACTGTAAGATTAAAGAGTCCAGCATCCCAGGGCACAGTACAGTACTAGCCTAGCATAATGCTAGTTCTGCAAGAGTGCTGGGCA